CAAAGAAGCAACTATAAAAATATAAGATTCAAAATTTAAAAAAAAAAAAAAAAAAAAAAAAAAAAAAAAATTTACTGAAGTGGATTTTTGAAAAAGAAATAGTGAGTAACCTGTCAATTCAGCTCAAACGCCCACTACTTTAGCACCACCCCATTCTGTAACTTATATTTTTTTTTTATTTTGACCTCTTTTGAAAAATTAACATTTAGACAAGTGATATGACATTATCTTTCCACCTTTACCTTAATGAAATGTAAAGTTTGTACCAATATAAGAGTGTTGCACATCATATGACTGACATTTTAATGCTGTAAATATAACTTTACCATTGTGGTAACTATGAAGTTTTATCACTTCTGATCAGCTATACATAAGTTGTCTCATGAGATGCTCATAAATTTAGACAGGCTTTCAGCTCCTGATTAAGGAAAACTGACAAGATCCATTTACTCTTGAACTTTAGATGTGTATGTTCCAGGATTCTAGAACATTATATTACATTTTAATCTAACTGGCAGGACCAGGAAAAATAGGTTCACTTTTTAATTTAAAAAAAAAAAAAAAAAAAAATTTTTTTTTTTAAATATTTAAGCTACAAAGACTAAATAGTTTTAAAATGAAAAACCATTGACTTGACTTTTATTGCATATCAGCACCAAAAAAATAAATGAAATTCATCAGATTAGAAAAATTCAGTGTTTAAAGTCTGGTGTGGGGGGAAAAAAAGTAATGTAATATCAAGGATAAAGAACAATTCCTGTAAAAACCAAGAATAGAACAGTCATGTAATTAAAATACATAAATAACTGTTCACAATGCAATGAAAATTGCAAAGGTGTACATTTTTATTATCTTTTAAAAAGACAATAAAATGAAGAGTTTCATCTTATTCTCTCATAAGTAATATTTATTATAAGTACCACCACATACTTTCTTAAAAAAAAAAAAAAAAACACAATGAATAATTTAAATGCCTTCTTTGATAATGGTCTAAATTAATCCAAGTTAAAAAAAAAATTATGTATATAAATACACTTTTAGACATTTTTAAAACCTTGGCACTTTCGTCACTCATCAAGCCACCATTGTATACAAAAAGTGTAAACAAATTTAAAATTCCCTTTAAAATCCAATTTTTGTCCTCGGGATGTGTTTCACAGTTTATTAGTAAATGTAATACTTAACTAGATTTTATAAAACTAATAGATTAAATTTAATATTTCCAATAAGCAAAATACTTTACTGTATTTCAAAGTGAATTTAATTTGATTGAAATGAGTTTTTCATTATCAGTATAAAAAAAAAAAAAAAAAAATGCTAAAATTGTTCATCAGTCAACATGACATAATCCTCTTTATTAAAAAAATCTTTCAAAAATAAAATATACTTTTCTGAAACTTTGAAAAATATCACAGAAAAACATTTTAACATGGAGGTGTATGTTTTTATGAGGTGTTGACAACTTTCTTATGTTTGGGAATATTTTTGAAATGGGGCAGTTACTGTAACAATTACCTGTCAAATACAATTTGAATGCCTTTGATAATTTCTTTTAACGACACATTAATCTTTCAAATTTAGGAAAATATTCTAAGTAACTTAATATTTTATTGAATTTTAGGTACTTTGGCTTGATAGTCTTGTGAAGACACTTGTTGAGGAAATATTAGAAAATTACCAAATTTAAAATTTACTATAGTTACCACTTATTTTCTGATAATGTCATGTATGGATGTCCATATTTACAAAAATTGGTATGTTTATAGACACATACAAAATTGAATTCTTTTCAAAATGCTGGTGGGTGGGGGTTCAATGTATTTTAGTAAGGCTTTCTATTTATTTAAGAAATTAAGATTAATAAATAGTTTTTACTTACAAACAATATCACCTAAATACTGAAAATTAAGATAGAATCTTAAAAGATTCAAAACTTTATAAATTATTCTAATTAAATTTTTTTTAAAAATGAAAACGATTGTTGTAAATATTCATTATTCACCCAAAAACAAATTTTCGTATGACAATAGTGTCCTGAATATAGCTTATCCAAAAAAGCAATTTCAAGCTTTAATTAAAATGTCATTGTTTTATTGCTTTTTTTTTATTTTACAATTCAAAGCAGACTTTTTGTAACTGGGAGTCAAAGAAAATTTGATGATTTATTCTTTAAGAACTTGTCCTTAAATATTATGTGCTCCAAAAATGAATTTCAAATAAGTGTAAAAAAAATTTTTTAACCAAGATTTTCTAAAAAAGAAACATTTTTTTAAATAAATTCATTAATTTGTGAATAAATGCTGAAAGTTTCATTAAAACCCAACAATTTGATTTTTGTAAGAATTTCCAACACTGCAAAAAGAAAAGATGCTAAAATTTCCCACATTAATTTATAGCTGACAAGAAAAAAAATTTTTAACCAAAATTTTGAAGGTTCTAAAAAGGATTAAAAAATATAATTTAATAATAATAATAATAATAATAATAAAAATATTGTTTTTATTAAGTTTAGACCGTGGAGGATTCTGTTTCTCATCGTCATGTATGTCATTTGGGGGGGGGGGTACCAACGTCATGTAATTTGCGTGGCCGTTAGATGTGAAAAGAAAAACATTTTTAGTTATTCTACAGTACACTTATTTCTCAACCTTTAGCAAGGGCACGCCTAGGAGAAAATGAAATTATCATGGCACACTTAAAATTTTTAAAGGGTACTACCGTACTAAATGAAATAAAAAAAAATTAAAAAACAGATTTAAAAAAACCTTCGTAATTTTGGAGTTATCGACAAGAAAAAATCGGACTTCTTGTTGGTCATTCGTTCCCCATTACTGCCATCATGTTTACTAATTTACTGCGTAGTACCTATGCAGGCGTAATCAGAAAAATTGGCCTATTTACTTCTTTTACAGACTTTACATGCAGAAAATCACTACGCACTACCGTAAAGAAATGTAATTTTTTTTTTTTTTTGGTAAGTGTAATTTTATTTATAACAAAAACAAATTACAACAGAACCTTTTTTCCGATTTGAATAGCAAAAATAAAATTAAAAAATTATTGAAGTCAGATTTTTTCTTGTCGATAACTCCAAAATTATGAAGGTTTCTTCGTAATTTAATTGTTAATTCGAGTTCAGCATGTACTTTTGCACGGAATTATGACGATTTTGGAAAACTTTTTAAGGGATATTAGCGCTTGGGAAACAAAACCAAAATTTACCAATTATTTATTCAAATAAAAAAAAAATTTAAAGTTAAATTAAAAAATAAAAATACTTTTTAAAATTGTATTGAAATAATAAAATAACATAATCGAAGAACGGTGAAAAGAATTATTTGAAAAAAAGTTTACTTATTAAAATACTAACGCTGTACCATTTACTTACACGCCGCGGCACAAGGGGATCGCGCGAAAACTTGTGCCGCGGCACGGTGGAATCAGTTCTACTTCTAAGAATAAATTCTTAGAAAAATTACAGAAATATTCTTTTTTATGTGAATGCAATAGTTTCGTAATAATTTTGAAAGATTTCTTGTTGGCGAGGGAATAAAATAAGTTTTTTTTTAAAAAAAAAAAAAAAACTTAACTTAAGTTTGGTTATTTTTGTACACAAGAATTTGTAAATAAAATGCAGGAAGGAAACAGACATTAAAAAAAATCAAAAAAGAAACGTACCGATGAATCGAAAAACAAAGATAAAAAAACTCACTGAATGGGTGATGAAATTAATTATGGTTTTTGCAAGAAGATATTTCTGTATTTGTATGTTATAATCGTAATTTCTTTAGGAAATTGATTTTTAATTTAAACGATTTTTCCTCAGTATTGGGTTCGATTTCAAAACTCCGTTTTTAAAAATAAATTCGGTCTTTTTTAACCATAAATTTAAAAAAGTACGGAAGCCTTAAGTCAAAGTGGTATTTATTTTCTAGGAACTCAGTTTACGAATGGCTTAACTTTGGATTCATTAAAGTAAACTTTCTTTACCAAGTACCTTCTACATAAAGAAAGACACAAAGCGCCCAGATTAACAATATATTATACATCGTAAATTGATGAACATTAGGCGGCTAGGCCTCATCATGTTGGACATAAGGCCAAACGTATGAAATAAATTAGAGAACCCTCACTTTGGGAGGTCGGGGGGGTTGAGTCACATCTTTTCACTTTAAAAAGAAACAAAATTCCAAGAAAAAAAAACTATAATCTTCATAAAGAGGAGAGAAATTACATTAAAAAAATAATTTTCGTAGAAATTTTTTTTTTTTAAGTTTAAACGTTAAAAAGAAAAAAAAGAGAAAAGAATTGAGTAGATGAGTAGAAATTACTTTTAGAATAAAGATTAACCATAACAATTTTTGTCTGAATGTTGAACAGTCACCCGAGAAATAAAGTTTACCTTTTTTTAAATAATCTTCATTCAAAAAAAAAAAATTGAAGAAATTACATAAATACTGTAAAAAAAATTAAATCCAATGAAGCCAAATAAACTAAAATTTTGACGGATTTCATTTTTAGAAACATTTTATTTTTTTGTATTTGTTTTGTTTAAAACATAATTAAGTTTTAGACTGGAAATATGTTCTTTAAACAATTTTTAAAAACATTTAAATTAAAATTGTGTTTTAATTTTCTCTTTTTTTGGGGGGTGTAGAGGGGGAACATTAATTTCAGTCATAATTTTTATTTTATGATTCATTTTTTTAAATATATAAATTATCAACTGTCAACACTTTTACAAAAAGAGTTGTTACAAAATTTCTAAGTTTATATTTCATTCAGTAAATGAGACAAGGTAAAGAAAAAAATATATCACCAAAAAATCTGCAAAATTAAAATTTAGAAAATAACCTAAGTTTGAAAAAAAAATATGTGGGGGATAATGGGTTCTTTATTCGTTTAATTTCTTTTAAATTGTATTTTTTATGCCCACTCCAAGAAGTTTAATGGGTAATTCGATAAAAAGTCTTCATTTAAATTGAATAAAATAAACTCACCCAATCTGTTTATTTTCATCGTGAATTGATGACCTTAAAAAAAATTCAGCGCAACAACAAACGTGTCGACACTAAAACACTTTTTCTTTTATGTACCCTAATAATCTAGTAAGCTGAATTTCATGATTTATTTAGCCAACTAGAAACATTTTGCATGGAATTTAATCAAATTATTACAAAAGTGTTAAATTTAACTTTAAGTGTAGGTATTTCTCCGTCGTGAAGACTTCAGTAATCTTTGCAAGAAATGGCGTCCTTCTTACGTTTCAAATTTTTATGTCAACCACAAAAATGAAGGTTATATACTCTGGCTGGATCATGACATCGCAAGATTTTAAATCTGGGTATACATTAATTAATCAGTCTTTTAAAAGAGCTTAAATCAGGGAAGAAAGTTCTGCAAGGAAGCAAAAACAAGGTCTGATTTTTTTTTTTTTTTTTGGCCTCGTGCTAAAAAGCGGCTTTCCTCTTTTCACAAAAAATCGTTAACAACATGAACGTTTAAAATTCCACATTTTTTACTCGATGTACAATTGTAGACTATGACGATGTTTAACATCGACGTTTATAAAATAAAACTAAAAGTAAATATATGTCCCTGAGCCTTGATCAATTCAGAGACATCAGGGTGCGCTCTTGCTCCTTCACCACATTACGCGATGCCAATGGGGATATTCCTGGACGCAAAAATTGAAATACACGGTACACCTGTTTTATTTTATCGATGCGAAATATATACCTGTCTCTCAGTATTAGCCGCAGACATAGTGTACATTTGACACCAACTAGTGGGGACTCTTTTATGAAATTAATGACACTAAGCGACATGCCCTTAATCCCGGAAGTACACTAAAGCGGATATTTGTGGGTAGTGTGACGATTATTGGTGGTAAAAGTAAAAGCGGCAAGCCGAGTTCAAATTCAGGATTTAGTCTACTGCATTCTCTTTCGCATTTGGGGAAGGCGTGAACCCGTCTCTTCTCCCCTACCCAGATGTAAAATAACTGAGCAGACTGTGCTTGTGGCTTTTGGTGGTAACCACTCTTAGTCTAAGACGAATCTAGGGGAAACGCTGTTACATAAGCTGCAATGACCAATCAAAATACAAGTATATGAGAATTTAAAAAAAAAACTTGACAACGTACCTTGGTTATAATAATTAATGCTTTAATCTTAGGGTTAGATTAAAATAGAAATCATTCTAATTAATATTAAATTTTACTATAAAATTGAAAATGAAAAATTACCAATTTTAAATTTAATCTGTGTTAAGTTAAAATATTATAAAATTATTTAAAGAAGAAACTGAGGAAAAAATACATATGTTTTGTCATTTATTTTGTTTTAATTGAAAGGCCAAAAATTCAGTTAGAATAAACGTTAAAATCTAATGTTGATGCTAAGCTTCGTTACAACTTAAATACATTTGAAGTGATGATATGGGCAGGGGAGGGTGAACTCTCGCAAAAGACAATACATACACAATCAGATTATAATCCACAAACACGTAGACATATTTATTGTATATACATACAATGAAAGGCATATATAAGCGATCATACACACATACATTAATAAAGGCACACACCAACAAATATTCAAATTTTAAAGTGTTAGTAAACGAATTCGAACAAACTATTAAAATATAATTTACATGGGAAAAGATATATAGATGGAAATGGTTCATTAGATAAAATTTAATGTGGGTAGAATAGAAAAACAAATATTCGTCAATGCACAACGTAAAGAAAAAAGACATAAACATATAGAAATGGATAGAAAAATAAATATATACGCATACACACACATAAAAAATCAAATTCAAATGTCCAGGCAAAATGTAACACTTAAAATAAAACCAGCTAATATATAAAAAAGAAAACACATAAACACACAAATATATATAAATATTTCATATATACTTATATACACGTGATTCTGTTGGGATTAAAAACTCGGTTCGCTTGGAGTAGGGAACGTTATACGTCTTCTTGCCTCTATAACATTCTGTGAATGAAGAGAGAAAAAAGAAAAAGCGGGTTTGAGTCCTTTCATTTTATACTGCTTTATACAATACCACGTAGTGTACGTTAAGAGAAGTTTCCAGGCAGACAAGGTGGGGTAATCCCACAACAGAATCATAGGTCAATGAACTGAAGTACTTAACTGACCTTATAATATACTCTAATACCCATTTTACATGACTTTAAAATGCCTCTGTAATTGGTCAAATTTCAAAATTTTCTTGGATGCTTGCATTACCTGAACCCCTACCTGTATGGGTTCGTTGAGCCTGTCGGAGTTAACTCCTCCGTTAGTTCGTTAACCCTTTCACCAGGGGTCTCTCTTCGCTGCTATAAATAGCCGCTGACCCTTCGCATCTTTCTCTTTTTTCCCTCACGCCTTCGCGTCGACACCTGGAGGTAAATCTCTCTTTTTCCTCAGGCTTTCAGCTTACAACCTCGAAATGTAGGCGCTAACAAGGGATAGCGTGGGAACACGCTAAGCACAATACACACACACACGCGCACATACAGAATATTCACACTCACACACTTTGTCTTTTGTAACTGTTTTCGTGTAACTTGTTATTAATATATATTTGTATATACATATATTATCGGTCTTGTGTCTTATTTTTTTTCTTTGCATTCTTTGGACTTGATTCAAGTCCAACCTTTTCATGTAGTTGGACCGGCGAGCAGGAGAATCTGAACCCACGCGTGTTTCTTCTACGTCTACTCAACAACATAACAGCTGCGGTCCTCTACAAGTGGGAAGGCCTGAGAGAGAAAAAAGAGAAAGAGGCGAAGGGTCAGCGGCTATTTATAGCAGCGAAGAGAGACCCCTGGTGAAAGGCTTAACGAACTAAAGGAGGAGTTAACTCCGACAATACCTCCCACCGGAAAATTCTTCGTTCATTCGAGTCCCACATTTCGCAGACACCTCTTCCGAGTAAGACCCCCCGCATAGAGGAGAACATGACTAAGGACTGTGTGTACGCCATCCTGTGCAGTTGTGGTAAGAAATATATAGGAAAATCAGGCCGCCCGCTTAATGTATGACTGCAAAACATCGTAAAGCGGTAACACGAGAGGAAATAGCAAAATTAGGCGTAGCTGATCACATATGGAGGGAAAAGAGAGATCATCACCAAACCCCCCACCCCGCCCTTGTAGGATGAGGTTGAAATAACAGAGAACATCACTGGAAAATAATAAAATTTAAGGAATCAACATATATGCTAGGCCACAAAAATCTCTTGAGCCGACCAAGCATAAAAATGAACAAATGTCTTCAAGGACACATGGCCAGTGTATAAAGGCGTTGGTTAGATCCAGTGACTAGACTCAATGGTTGCTGAGACATTAGGTTTATAAATCCCAGAAATTCATACACAGATGTCCTCAAGGACACATGACCAAGTGAATAAAGACGTTGGTTAGATCCAGTGACTAGGCCCAGTTTGAATTCAATACCAGTGTGAGTTCAATACCAGGCTACAACAGTGGTGTACCAAAACTTGGAGAATTGAGTTAAAGGGAAATAATCGAAACATCCAGAAGGGGCATGGCACGTGGAACTAGAACAATCTACCCCGGTGGACGAAATAAAAGGTTCGGTTCGAAATTCCAATCACCTGAAGAATAAAGCCTTAGTAATATACCAAGATAAAGAGGATTAACTTTTGGAGCCAAATTAATTATGTTCTTAATCTCAACTGTTTTTTTTTTTTGTTTTTTTTAACTTTCTACAGCAGCAAACTGCCGTAGACCCAAACCGAAACTAAAAATCTTCGCTCCCAGTGGAACTATAAAATTTGAGATAGGCCTTTAGGTCACGCGCGATCACATTGCCTTAAATACAGATGTTAATTAGGTCTGGTTGTGAAGCTTCAGCAGTTAACTGCTCTTTGCACACCTTGAGAATGTGCAGGTAAATTCGGTAACTCTAACGTTGTTCAGTTCATTAGAATTTCTTACGGTTCATTATTTGAAAAACCTTCTGCAATCTCAGGTTCACAGATTCCATTTTGTGAGAGGGTAATCGAATTTGACCAATGTGTCGATTTTGTGTTTTTTCTAAATCTCTTCTTTGGTGGCTCACTACTTTTGAAACAAAAAAAAAATAGTTTTATTGAAAAATTTACCCATATTTGGTTATATTTTTGTGATGTAATCTGAATGACCTTTTAAAATTAGTCTTGTAAACTGAAATAACTAATTACGTAGGAAGAAAGGTTTACTTACATTAAATGTTTACTTACAATTTTTTAATAGCTTCTTTACTCGCCTCAAATTCATTTGACTTGATTTTTTTTAATGCAACATTCTGTATTTAGGTCGGCTATTGCTTTATTCTCTGGATCATGTTGAAGATATACAGTTCTTGGTTATGGAATGTATTATCCCTTGTAATTTTAAACCTATTAACTGCATATATTTCAATTATAAATTATTTGGGGCCGTACTATAAAACCTTCACTGATCACCGGAATGAAATTCCAACGCCCCAATTTTGAACCTAAATTTAACTTTTAAAACTCGTTTCCTCAAAAAACGCTAACGATTTGGAAAAAAAATATTTTGTGTAATTATTCATCATGCTAAACCCCAATTTTCAAATTGTGTGCAATACCACGGTTCAAAAATCAACCTGCCTTAATGTTCACATTAAAAATATCATATTTCATCTCTGAATTATTCAAAAGATCAGGTGAAACGTGAAAGCGACGTTGTTCTTGCACAACTATTTAGATTAGAAGCACCATCTTTGAGGATATTTTTCTTATTCCCAAAGCTTCTGTTAGAATCTGCCGCATCATATTCATCTCAGTTCCTTTACCATCAGTCCCACACTTAATCTTCGATCTGAGCACATCAAGATTCGCGCATTCTCCATATTTGCTCCTGTTCTTTGCGTTTTGGCTTCCCAATTTTTGCATCATTGTGAACATCACGCACTTCCCTGAACCGCCTGTGCCACTCAACAATACTCGG